CCTTCGTCAATGATATGGCATTCATAATGGAAGACCCAAAAGAAACAAGCATCATACTAATGAATGAAATAGAAGAATTTGGAAAGGTGGCTGGGCTGATAATTAATAGAGAAAAAAACAAATTAATAACGAAAAACTGCACAAAAAAACAAAAGGAAGAATTAGCAAACAAATTAGGTATGCAAGTAGTAAATAACGTAAGATATCTTGGGATCTGGTTGACAGCTAAGTATTCATCAATTAAAAAGGATAACTATGATAAATTGATAACTCAAATATCAAAAGATCTAGACAACTGTTAAGTATGGTCGGTGGGTCCCATAGAGAGGCGAGGCGAGGCTCGAGTAGTGAACAACAGCTCTTTATTTAGCAACCAGATTCTGAGACAAAAACCCCAGCCACGGCTGCTCTTTTTATAGAGCTGGCCGCGGCTAGGCAGCCAATGACAGGTTTTTGAGCTTGCCGCGCTTGGTTTTATCCAATCGCAGCAAACCCTATACGGGCCAATCAGGAGTGTTCAACAACGTCCAATCACGGCCCGGCTTTTCCGGACCAATAGGAATGCAGGTCTTCAAGCCTGCTAGTATGGAACACCCCTCCCCTCTTGGTTCCATCCAAGGGGTGGAGTCACGTAATCACGTAAGTAGGCGGGCCTTCGGACCTGCCTACTTGACTTGCGCGGTTCATAATGTCTCTGATCGTTGTCAGGTTCGGACGGGCTCCGCGTCGTTCTCAAAACCCTTGATGGAACCGCCTGGAAGGGTGAGCCGGGCCTACAGCTGCGACTCCCACCTGGTGAACCCAGGTCGGTCGAGTTGTTCGCTCTGTTGCTCCTGCCTGGATTCTCTGGGCTGGTAGAGCTTGTCCGGCTGCTGCTTCCAGGTGAAGTACCCGTCTGCCACGGTTCCCTGTCAGCTGGTAAGTATTGTTGGTTTAAAGTTTGGGTTTTATTTAATGTGTGTGGGGGGTGTTCTGCTTGCGCAGATGCTGGTTCTTTTTCTGGATTCGAGGCTCCCCCCCCTCTGATTTCTTGGTTAGGGTCTGTGAGAGGAAGGGTGGCTAGTCTGGATCTTAGTTGGTCAATGTGGCGTTTCTAGCACCTACCATCGGTAGTCTTGAGTCGGTAGGAGCGAGGGCCGGGGACTTGGGTGATTTTTGCAGGAAGCCATAGTGGGTCCCCGGTAAAATTTTTAGCAAACACAGTGTCTCCTATGTTGAAGGTGCGGTTTTTGCTGGTGGAGCCAGGGTTTTTTTCTGGCGTGTACGCAGGGTGCAGCCAGTCCAGGGGTGACCGGAGTCTTCTGCCCATGAGCAACTCCGCTGGGCTTTTATTGGTGGTGGTATTGGGCGTGATGTGTTGTATTAGAAGCATTTTGGTGATTTTTTCGTGGATGTTGCCATGTTCGATCCTTTGGAGAGTTTTTTTCGTAAATTGAACCATGCGTTCAGCTCTGCCATTTGCCGCCGGGTGAGCTGGCGATGTCAATGCGTGTCGGATGCCACGGTCTGCCAAGTATTGCTCGAAGGCCACTGCGGTAAACTGTGGCCCGTTGTCAGATACTATCACATCTGGCAGACCATGGGTAGCGAAAAGTTTATTTAATTTCTTGATGACTGCTTCCGTGGTGGTTGTTTTCATTTTGCTCACCTCGAGCCAATTCGAGTAAGCATCAACAGTGATTAAAAAGATATGCCCCTTGGTTGGTCCTGCGAAGTCAATATGGATGCGCGACCAAGGGCCTCTGGGTGTCTCCCATTCTAATGGTGGGGCTTTTGGGGGAGCCGAGCGAGTCTCTTGGCATCTGTTGCAAGCGGCGACCCAGGTTTCAATTTGCTTGTCCATGCCTGGCCACCAAGCATAGTTTCTGGCCAGGGCTTTCATACGTACAATGCCTGGGTGCCCCTCGTGCAGCATATCTAAAACTGTTTTCTGTAATGTTTCCGGTATTACCACCCAGTCTCCCCATAGGATACACCCCTTTTGCGAAAAAAGTTCAGTTTGCCGGTTTTTAAACGGTTTAAAGAGTTCATTTTTCTCGCTCTCTGGCCAACCCCTCTCCACCCAGCTGAGAACTCGCGCCAAACGTTTGTCCCTTCTGGTTTCGCGGGCAATGTCTTGAGCGGTGGTTAATGGTAGTGTGGATACTGTTTCAATTTGTAACGTGGGTGCTGGGTCATCTTGCACATCAAGCAGGGGGGATCGGCTTAAAGTATCGGCGTGCGAGATAGTCTTGCCTGGTCGATGTATTAATTGGTAATTATAAGCGGCAAGAAATTCAGACCATCTTGTCATTCTAGGTGACAGGATGTGTGAAGTGGGTTTGTTACCCGCCAGAATGCCAAGTAGGGGTTTATGGTCCGTAATAATTGAAAATGTCCTACCATAAATGTATTCGTGGAATCTTTTTACTGAGGAAACGATGGCGAGTGCTTCTTTGTCCAGCTGGCTGTAGTTCCTCTCCGGCTTGGACAAGGTTCTGGAAAAGAATGCAACGGGAGCCTCTGTTCCATTTGGCAAAATGTGGCTCAGGATTGCGCCAACACCAAAGGGTGATGCGTCGCATGTAACAGTCAGTGGTAGTGTTTCGTTATATTGAATGAGGACTGCGTCTGAAGTCAAAAGGTTTTTTATTTGTTGAAAAGCGTGTTCCTCTCGCCGTCCCCATATCCAGGAAGCCTTTTTATCGAGGAGTCTATGCAAGGGTTCCGCGACAGTCGCTTTCTGGGGTAGGAAAATATTATAGAAATTAATGAGTCCGAGGAAAGCTTGGAGGTCCGTTTTGTTTTTTGGTCTGGGGGCTTCTTTGATGGCTTTTAATTTTTTGTCAGTAGGGTGAATTCCTTGTTTGTCAAGGAGGTATCCGAGAAATTCAACCCTTTCAGTACATAATTGGCACTTCTCCTTTTTTACCTTGAGGCTGGAGTCTTTAAATTTTTGTAGGACTGCCCTCAGTCATTTTTCCAATTGTTTTTTAGTAGGGGCTGCTACTAAAACGTCGTTGAAATAGGGTACGGATTGTACCAAAATGATAAATTATAGAGATTTGCTAAACGAAAAAAGGAGAATTAAAAACTAGGAACCAACTACAACTTCAGGGAATTGAGATAGGATGATGGCCCTACTTGCAAGTGCAAGCACATTACTATAAGGATAAAGAACAATTTGGCTTTTACACAACACAGCAAGAGTCTAGATAAGATATGGCAAGGGGAAGAAAAAAAATGATCAGTAAAATTTACAAGTATTTATTAGACTATAAAATGAGGGAGGAAACCATTATAGAATGCATGATAAGTTGGTCTAAAAATGTGGGCCATAATATTAACTTAGACTAGTGGGAACATCTTTGGCAGATAAACTATAGACTAACAATGTCGGTCTCTTACAAAAAGAACTTATATAAAATTTTCATTGCTGGCACTTACCACCAGCGAGGTTAGCCAAAATGTTCCCTAACATGACACCCAACTGTTGGAAATGTAATTATAATCAGGGAACATATTTCCACATATGGTGGACATGCCCTCATGCACGAAAATATTGGCAAAAAATTAGAATATGGATAGAGGAAATAACAAAACAGAAAGTAAAATTCAAACCAGAAATTTTTTATCAGGCATGTTAGAACCAAATACGAATAGGAAGCACCAATACTTGACTCTGCATATCATAACGGCAGCTAGAGTAAGTTTTGCTCAAAATTGGAAATTGGCTATGACCCCTTCAGAAAATATGATAATCAATAAGATAAGAATGTGCCGAGATGGATAGACTAATCAAACTGTTAAAAGATAACCAAAACAGTGAATATTACAAAACATGGGATATCTGGTATGACTGGTTAAAGAAAATGTGATATCTGATGACCTGGTAACATTTTGGAAAATAAGGGTGACGTATAAATAAATGTAAATATATATGTATGCATATATAGAATTTAAAATGATGAAGGAGTTATTATGACAATGTATATGCTATCGAAGAAAAGTACAAGTGTATTGATTGCTCAAACAACACTGTAAAATGTATATATATGTTTTTAATTTCATAAATGTTGAATAAATATATATTAAAAAATATTATGTACACTTAAATGAACCAATGGGAAAAATAAGAAAGAATAGAAATTGAAATAAGAAGGAACAACAATATACATATTTTAATATAACAAGATCTGTGTAATAAAAAAGGGAGGTCTAGAAATTGAATGGCGATAGCCTTAGATATGTTTAAATAACATGAAACAAAATGAAATGCTATGGGTTACGACAGTTGGCAATTTTAAGACTTGTGGACTTCAATTCCCAGAATTCTCCAGCTGGCTATCAGAGAGCAGTTCCTTCCCTTGATGTACAAGTAGTCCTTGACTTACAACAGCCTCATTTAATGACCATCTGAACTAGTTACAATGGCACTGAAAAAGTGACTCACGAGACATTTTTCACACATGACCATTACGTCATGTGACCATCTTTTTCAACCTTCTGATTGGGTTTTCCCTCCCCAAAAGAAAATCAAAGATCCATTCCCTGCACCCACCAATCCGTCACATGGCCCAAACAAAACGTCCATCCCAACTGGAGACATTCCTCCAGACACTCCTCTCCAGGTGCAGAGTAACATGTCCTTGACTTTCCAAGAAAGAATGTTGTTGAGTTTAAACTTCCACCTCGCTGTGAAATGCCCCCTCCCTAATTCCCAGGCACCAAATGTGGCAGCCTTGAAGCTTCCAAGTAAAATATGGCTTCCAAGGTTGACAAATAAATTCTGGGCTCATAAATCAAGGAGTACCTGTATTTTAATACCCGCTGACATTTCCCTTCCCTGTATTTCGTACAAGATTAAGGAACTTGATGTAGATGGCTAGATTGAGATTTGAAGGTTGCATTTGGGGATGCTGAATTCCCAAATGCATTACCATTCTGGCTGGTCTGGGAAAGGATGTTCCAATTGAAAGTTCCTGGGATAAAATGTTTTCTTCTCTCTGTTTTGATGATAGTGCTGAAGATCAGAAACCATTATTTAAGATTGGAAAATACCCCACGGACGAGGTGCTAAAGTGGCAGCTAATGCTTATTCAACAGTGTCCTTGGAAACGCAATGCTACAGCGGTTATGCAATATAGGTAATAATGCTAATTGTTCATATCACCAGTTTGAAAAGGTATCGGATTGCCTGACTATCAGACCTGTCACAAACTTAAACTTCTAAATTGAAAACGATGCTTGGCTCCATTTCCTGAAAAAGGTATATTTTTTTAATAGAGATCAAGTGTATTGCAGTAATGCATAGCCAGAACTGAGATTCATGTGCCAAAATTCCTGTGTTATTTATTCCCTTCCTCTCCCCTCTTTAACCGTGTTCCATATTAGCATTCTTGGAATACCCTCACCTGATTGGCCCAAACGGACTACCCTGTGATTGGTGGAAAGAACAACAGTGATTGGCTGGTAATGAATCGACTTCGATTGGCCGCGCCGAACGCGGGAGATTCAAAGAGCCGTCATTGGTTGCGAGCCGCCAGCAATCCCTATAAGAAGGGCTGCCGCGGCTCGCAGGTCGAGCACAGACCTATATACCAAATAAAGAGCTGAACTGTCACACTGGTCTCGAGTCTCTTTTCCCGCGATTGAACACTGGCGACAAGGATGGGATTCTGAGACAAAGAGACCAGTCGAGCACGTGGCACCCAGAGCTGAATGACCGACAAGATGGCCGGCAGCAACTCGCCACCCGCACCCTACGACCAGGCAAACGAGGACTGGGAATCATACATTGATCGATTCCTAATGTTCCTCGAAAGCAGTAATCTGAAGGACGCCAACGGTCAGCGAAAAAGAGCTGTGTTCCTGACACACTGTGAGCCCGCAGTGTTCAAGATGGCCAAGGCATTGGCCAAGCCCCGAGATGTGAAGGAGATGGACTGGGAAAACCTCGACCAGCTATTCCAAAGCCACTACGCACCAGCCATTCCCAACCTCATCCGAAGGTATGAGTTCTACCGACGGGACCAGAAGGAAGGGGAGACCATCGGGGACTTCGTGGCGGCCCTGAGGAACATTGGGGGTGCGTGCAGTTTCTCCGATATGGACGAGGCTCTGAAGGACCGCGTGGTTCTCGGGTTAAGAGATCCCACGCTCCAGAGCAGGCTGATGGCTCGAGCGGACATCACCGTCACTGAAGCCATTGCCGAAGCCACTGCATCCGAGGCTGCCAAGAAGTCAGCAGCCAAGATGCGCCAGATGAATGTGATGGACCGGCAAGTAAGCACGGGGGCCGACCCATCATCGGAGAAAAGACCGGAAGCAAGCCACAAGGCCACGACAACACACCACAAGGACATCGAGTCCTCCCCTGAGACCGATGACAAGGAGGCAGAAATCCACCAGCTACAGTCCGAACGAGACCGGCGAGAGCGGAGAGGTTGCAAGTCGGGGTTTCAGTGCACAGGGTGCGGAGGAGACCACCCCCACTCAGAGTGCCGGTTCCTAGATGCCATCTGCCGGCACTGTGAGAAGTGGGGGCACATCGCCAAGGTATGCCGCCACAAGCGGAATTACAGCCCAAGGCGACGCAACAGCACTCCCCCCCAAAATCGGGACAAACACGCAGAAAGCCGCTGGAGCTGCGATGGTCGAAGCAAGTGGCTCAGCGAAGCCTGGCGCAGAGAGGAAACACACCAAACAGTCACCATCAGGCACTCCAACACCACGGACGCCCGAAAGGTGCACGTGCTAGTCGGCATCGAAGGCCGGCAGTGCGACATGGAGGTAGACTCCAGATCCTACCTCTCCATGGTGTCATGGGACACGATTAAACGGCTAGTGCCCAGCATCCGCAGGCAAGAGCTGGAGAGCCAGAAACTAACGCTTAAGGACTACCAGGGGAACCGGATCCCCGTGGCAGGGATTCCACATCACATTTAAGGGACAGGAAAAAATACTGCCCCTCACCATCGTGGACAGAGACCACCCGAGCCTGCTGGGACTGGAATGGTTCACGCCGTTGGAGATTGAGGTGACGGGCATCCACCGCATCGAGGAAGCAGACTGGGAGGAAGAGCTCATGATGGACTTCCAGGAGGTTTTCGACTGACGTTTAGGCAAGTACCGGGGGTCCCCAATATCGTTTAACATGAACCCCAATATTGCCCCAATCCGCCTAAAACGGAGGCGAGTCCCATTCCCCCTCAAGCCTAAAATTGATGAGCAATTGGATAAGCTCATCGCGCAAGGGGTCCTGGAGCCAATCGATCATGCCCAGTGGGAAACCCCAATAGTCACCCCAATTAAGCCGGATGGGTCCGTGAGAATCTGTGGGGACTACCAGGCCACCCTCAACCACGCGCTGCAGCAGAGTGCTTACCCCATCCCGGTGGTACAGCACCTCCTACACTCGCTAGGGGGAGGAAAAGTTTTCGCAAAGCTCGACCTGGCGCAGGCATACCAGCAGCTGCCAGTCGACGCCGAGACTGCAGAGGCGCAAACCATCGTGACCCACCGGGGAGCATTTCGCTGCAAGAGACTCCAATTTGGAGTCAGCGTGGCACCAGGGGTGTTCCAGAGTTTAATGGAACGACTATTGCAAAGCATAAAAGGGGTGGTGCCCTACTTCGATGATGTCTTGGTGTCAACAAAAAACAAAAGCCAGTTGGGGAGCCGCCTAAGGGAAGTCCTAAAAAAATTCAAAGACGCAGGACTAAAAGTAAAAAAAGAGAAGTGCCAACTATGCCCTGAAAAAGTAGAGTTCCTGGGGTACCTGGTCGACAAAAACGGAATCCACCCCACAGAGAAAAAGATTAAAGCTATCAAGGAAGCCCCAAGACCACAAAATAAAGCGGAACTGCAAGCTTTCCTAGGACTGATTAACTTTTACAATGTTTTTTTGCCACAGAAGGCAACAACGGTGGAACCACTTCATAGATTACTGGACAAGACAGCCACCTGGTCCTGGGGAAAGCGGGAAGAAACCGCATTCCAGAAAATAAAAGACTTCCTCACATCAGAATCAGTCCTCATCAAGTATAGTGAAACACTACCACTGACGGTAACCTGTGACGCCTCACCATTCGGCGTTGGAGCCATCCTGAGCCACACTCTGCCGGACGGGAGAGAAGCACCAATTGCATATTTCTCCAAGACACTGTCCAAGGCAGAGAGGAACTATAGCCAGCTCGACAAAGAGGCGCTAGCAGCGATCACCGGCATGAAGCGATTCCACGAGTACCTATATGGTAGGAACTTTTCACTTATCACTTATCACCGACCACAAACCACTCCTGGGGATCCTGGCAGGGAACAAGGCCACCCCTAACATCTTGTCACCACGGATGACGAGGTGGTCCGAGTTCCTTGCCGCCTATATCAATTAATACACCACCCCGGGAAAAGCATCTCGCACGCAGACACGCTAAGCTGTGCTCCCCTGCCAGACCTGGAAGACGACCCGGCACCCACCACGTCCACCCTGCAAATAGAGACACTGCCTAACCCACCAATGACCGCCTCAGACATTGCCAGAGAGACTATTAAAGACAGGAAGCTGGCGCGAGTCTTGAGCTGGGTAGAAAAAGGGTGGCCGGAAACCGAGGGGGGCGAGCAGTTTAAACCCTTCCGGAACCGGCAGACTGAACTATTTACTCAAAAGGGATGTATATTATGGGGGGACAGAGTGGTGGTTCCGGAAACATTGCAAACAAGGGTGTTGGACATGTTGCACGAGGGTCACCCAGGCATCGTAAAGATGAAATCCCTAGCCAGGAGCTACATCTGGTGGCCGGGAATGGACAAAACCATAGAAACATGGGTGGCAACATGCAAGAAATGCCAAAGATCCAGATCAACCCCCCCCCTCCGCACCGACCCTCGAGTGGGAAACACCCAGGGGCCCCTGGTCAAGGGTCCACATAGACTTTGCGGGACCCACTAAAGGACACACATTTCTAATAACAGTTGACGCTTACTCAAACTGGTTAGAGGTAAGCGTCATGCAAGCCACCACCACAGAAGCGGTCAAATAAAACCTAACCAAACTGTTTGCCACCCATGGACTACCGGACTTGCTAGTGTCTGACAATGGCCCGCAGTTCACGGCATTGGCATTCGAACAATTCCTCGCCGAACGGGGCATACGGCACGCATTGACAGCGCCCGCTCATCCGGCGGCGAACGGGCGGGCGGAATGAATGGTCAGATACACAAAGGACACATTAGAAAAAATGGACACTGGAAACATACATGACAAAATTAATAAACTACTGACAATACAACACATAACACCCAGCTCAAAAACCAACAAAAGCCCAGCAGAACTCCTAATGGGCAGAAAACTACGATCACACCTAGACAGGCTGCACCCAACATATAATTCCGAAAAACCACCAGATTCATCTAGCAGGTACCGCACATTTAAACCAGGAGACACAGTCTACGCAAAAAAAAATTTCGGGGGATCCACTCTGGGTACCAGCCCAAATAACCCAGGTGACAGGCCCCCGGTCCTACCGGTTAGACACAGAAGATGGAAGAAGCTGGAAACGGCACATCGACCAACTAAGGTCGAGAACTACCACCGATAACACAAGCAACGCGCAAGCACCACAAATAGACCTTAATAAAAAAACCAGAGGGGGGGGGGAAACCCCAAACATTACTCAAGAGGGAGGAGAAAATCCTCCCAGAACGCAACCAACCGAACAACGCCAACCCACACCAATAAACAGGAAAAGAAACCAGCAATACTCACCGGCAGACGACGACGGCAGAGGAGAACCAACAGAGGACCACCAGCACGAAGCCTCGCCTGGAAGAGGCAGCCAAGCCAGTTCAACCAGCCCGGAAAACCCGGGCGGGAACAGCAGAGCCGACAACTCGACCGACCCCGGTAGACCGGGTAGGAGTTGCAGCGAGAGGCCTGACTCACCCTTCCAGGCGGTTCCATCAAGGAGGACAGGAACAACAAGGATCCCATCCGAACCAGTCGAAGACCACGCCACAACTGAGCTGCGCAGGTCAAGTAGACACGTTAAAAGCCCCGCCTACCTACGGGACTACGTTACGTAGGTTGGACTGAACCAAGAGGGGAGAGGTGTTCCATATTAGCATTCTTGGAATACCATCACCTGATTGGCCCAAACGGATTACCCTGTGATTGGTGGAAAGAACAACAGTGATTGGCTTGTAATGAATCGACCGCGATTGGCCGCGCCGATCGCGGGAGATTCAAAGAGCCGTCATTGGTTGCGAGCCGCTGGCAATCCCTATAAGAAGGGCTGCCACGGCTCGCAGGTTGAGCACAGACCTATATACCAAATAAAGAGCTGAACTGTCACACTGGTCTCGAGTCTCTTTTCCCGCGATCGAACAAACTGTCTTTCATTTCTCAAGATAACCAATTAAAATATTGCAAGCTGTTCTCCTAATGGTCAGTTCAAGCGTGTTCTGCTATGCTGTTCCTTCCTTCTTCAACCTGGGCAACCTTGAAGCAGCTTCTCAAGAAGGCACAGCACCTACTTTCAGTTTCCCGAGCATTTTTCTTTCGTCCCCCTTCTCTATAGTTCATGGCAGACTGTCACTGCATATCAACAAAGCACAAGCAAGCTTGAGGAGGCACCGCCCTTCGAATGCTTTAACCATAGGATAGGTTTATTACATGTAGTCCAGTGATGGCTAACCTTTTTAGCACTGAGCACCCAAAGTGCGCACGCATTGCCAAAATGCGATCCACGCACATCCAACCTGCATGTGTGCATGTCCCCCGTGCTTACATGCACATCCCCCACACGTGCACGCATTGTCCCCACACATGCGCCCCTGCATATGCTCCCCCATGCATATGTGAGCATTCCCCATGCATGTGCCCTGTCTCATGCATGCATGCTTGTCCCCTGTACATGCGCCCACCGCATGAGCCCCACCCCAGCGCATATGCGGCAGAGACCCAAAGACCAGCTGGTTGGCGGGAGATGTGCGTGTATGTGCGGAAGACCTGAGCTGGGGCGACAACCTGCGTGGCCAGAGAGACGGCTCTGTATGCCACCTCTGGCAAGAGTGCCATAGGTTTGCCATCATGGTCCTAGACCTATAACCATTTGCTTAACAACTGTTTGAAGTTACAATAGCACTCAAAAAGTGACTTATGACTGGTCTTTTTATCTACAACCATGACAGCGTTCCCATGACCATGTGATCAAAAATTGGCAACTAGCATTTATGATGGTTGCAGTGTTTTGGGATTACATGATCTCTGTTTGTGACCTTCCCAGATAGCTTCTGATAAGCAAAGTCAATGGGGAAACCCGGTTTGGCTTAACAATCTCAGTTCATTTAGCTGCAGGGATTCACTTAGTGACTTGACAAAAAAGATCATAAAATTAGACATGGCTCACTTAATCAACTGCCTTGCTTAGCAATGGAAATTCTGGTCCCCAGTGAAAAGCCGAGGAGTACATGTATAAAGAGAGCAATGATAGTAATAGCACTTAGACTTATACGCTGCTTCACAGTGTTTTACAGCCATCTCTAAGCGGTTTACAGAGTCAGCCTATTGCCCCCAACAATCTCGGTCCCCATTTTACCCACCTTGGGAGGATGGAAGGCTGAGTCAACCTTGAACCTGGTGATATTCGAAGTGCCAAATTGCTTGGCAGCCCTCAGTCAGCAGAAATAGCCTGCAATACTGCATTCTAACCACTGCGCCACCACAGCTCATAAAAAATTATGTTTCTTATGAAGATCCCCACCCCCAAAAAATCTTTATAAAATGTTCTTTGCCATAATTCACCAATTTCATAGCATGGTGACCAAAACTGGATGCAGTATTCTAGGCCTGGCCTCACTAAAGCTTTATAGAGTGAGACTAGTACCTCATCTGAACGTAATTCAATAACAACAACAACAAGAACAACAACAACAACCTGGTTATGGCTGACCAATGGAACACTGAAGAAAGAAACAGAAGGCCTGATTCTTGCAGCCCAAGAACAAGCCATCAGAACGAATGCAATAAAAGCCCGAATAGAAAAATCTGCTGATGACCCCAAATGCAGACTCTGCAAAGAAGCGGATGAAATCATTGATCACATACTGAGCTGTTGCAAGACAATAGCTCAGACTGACTACAAACAACATCACAACATAGTCACTCAGATGGTCCACTGGAACTTGTGTCACAACTACCATCTGCCTGTAGCAAAGAACTGGTGGGATCATAAGCCTGAAAAAGTGGTCGAAAATATGCATGCAAAACTACTGTGGGACTTCCAAATACAGACTGACAAAGTTTTGGAACACAATACCATGGATATCATGATTGTGGAGAAGAAAAAAGTGTGGATTGTTGACATTGCTGTACCTGGTGACAGCAGAATCGACGAGAAACAACTTGAAAAAGTCACCAGAGATCAGGACTTGAGGATTGAACTGCAGAGACTCTGGCATAAACCAGTGCACGTGGTTCCAGTGGTACTCGGCACACTGGGTGCTGTGCCTAAAGACATAAACAAACACTTGAAAACAGTTGCGCTGACAAGATCATCATTGGTCAGCTGCAGAAGGCCACTGGGATCTGCTCACATAATCTGCCGATACATCACGCAGTCCTAAACACTTGGGAAGTGTTTGACTAGTGATTTGTGATATGAAACCGAGCATGGTTATCTCGTTTGCTTTGTATATTGTCATTTTTGTGTATAATAATGATAATAATTATTATTATTGTAGATATATACATAATTTTGTATTTATTTTGTCATGTTTATGTAGTGTATAGTGGAGGTAGTAATTCTTTGAGCTGTATGTAACAAAAATTCATTTTAATGTATGCTGATTAGTGTACATTCAAAGTGACAATAAAATTATTCTGTTTTGTTCTATGCTATGCTACTCTATGCTACTCCTACTTGACTCTACTCTACCCTCTTCCTCTGATAATGCAATTTAGGATTGCTCTGGCTTTTTTCAGGGGTGTCAAACTCAATTTCACTGAGGGGTGCATCAGGGTTGTGTTTGACCTTGGGGGGCCAGGGTGGGCATGGCCAGCTCGACATTGCTTTTGTCAGGGGTGCCTGTGGTGGCATGAGTGCTCTGCCAGTGAAAACGGGCTCCCGAGCTCCATTTCATTTGTGAAGGCCTCCTGCCACCCTCTGCCAGTGAAAACAGCAGGGGCACTTCGGGCCGGTCCTTTGCTGTTTCCAGGGCAGCCCTCCGGCCAGATCTAAGCACCCTGCAGGCCAGATCCGCTTCTCGGGCCTTGAGTTTGACACCCCTGCTCTAGATAGATAGATTGAGTTGGAAGGGACATTGTAGGTCACCCAGTCCCACCCCCCCCCCCCCCCGCCCAAGCAGAAGGCCCTGCACCATTTCTGACAGATGTGTCAGAGCGTTTGCAGTGTGACTGCTATTATGAGACATCTCAGGAACAAAACACAGCACACAGAGACTTAAATATTTAACAGTGGTTAAATGTAACTTGTTACATTTACAGCTGTTATATACAGACATATATGTGGTAGGCAAATACCTTCTTAACTCTACATGGCGAAACTGCTCTGGATACAGGGCACAAGGAGAGAGAACATGCCCTCTAATGGCTGTCTTTATATAAATGCCTCTTAAAGGGATAGAACCCATCCCCAGTTTTAAAGGGAAATACCCATGCTATGCTGATTTAATTCTTATTGCACAATCTATATTGCATCAACTTCACTGCTGGTTGGCTCTTAAATCCCAAGACCTTAACAAGATGGCAGTTCAGTCTCTTCTTGAAAGCCTCCAGTGATGAAGCTCCCACACAATGATCCCTTTTCAAGTTAACTGTCGCTAATGCCTTCTTTCAGGAAAGAGCTAGGTCAGTGTTGCAACGCTTCTCGTCTGCTGGTGTTAACCAAGAAAAATGCACCACTGGGCTCCATCATCAGGTTCGATGGTGACAGCTATAAAAACATAACCGTAGATGCCAGGCTGAGAAATATTCTATTGAAGGTAGGAAAAAATGCATCCTTTGGGTTTCGGTGGAAGGGAAACCAATAGGGGCAGGACGTGTTAACAGAATACAGGTAGTCCTCGACTTATAACAGTTCATTTAGTGACCGTTACAACAAAGTGATGACAGCATTGGAAAGAAAAGAGACTTAGGGCGGTTTATCACACGTATGACCATTGCGACATGGTCATGTGATCGAAATTCAGGCACATGGCCTCCTATATTAATGACAGTGGCAGCATCCAGGGGGGTCATGGGATCCCCTTTTGCAACCTTCGGACCAGCAAAAGTCCATGGGGAAACCTGATTCACTTAACAACAGCGTTACTATCAGAACAATGGTGGCGGTTGACTTTAACAACTACGGCAAGGAGTGCAACATTCACAACAGCGGTCTCCCTTAGCCACAAAAAAGTCTGGTTTCCATTCGGGTCGTAAGTTGAGGACTACCTGTAATAGAGTTGGAAGGGACCTTGGAGGTCTTCTAGACCACCCCCCTGCTCAAGCAGGAGATCCTATACCGGAGGCGTCAAACTTAATTTCATTGAGGGCTGCAGCAGGGTTGTGTTTGACCTCAGGGGACTGGGGGTGGGTGTAGCCAGGGTGGGCATGGCCAGCTCGACATGTGTTTTTGGCTGCGACAGCCTCCTGCAGCCCTCTACCAGCAACCCCCCCCCCCCCCGGTGCTCTGTTTTTGACCGCAATGGCCTCCTGCAGCCCTCTGCCAGTAAAAATGGAGGGGGCCATACGCAGCCCTTCCAAACTCCATTTTCAATGGCAAAGGCACCATGGGATGGTCCTTTGCTATTTCCTGGGTGGCCCTACAGGCCGGATCCGGCTCTCAGGCCTTGAGTTTGACACCCCTGCCCCATACCATTCTGGACAAATAGCTGTTCAAAACCTTCTTAAAAACCTCCAATGTTGGAGCACCCACAATTTCTGGAAGCAATCTGGTCCACTCATTAATTGTTTAAGAAATTTCTCCTTAATTCTTGGTTCTCTCCTCTATTAGTTTCCATTCAAACTCTGTTGTTGTTTTTTGCAACTTGAGTAATTGCCCTTTCCTTTGTCCGTGTGCCCCTTTTCTTGTAGTTTCTTGTTGAAAGACCTTATGAAATCCTTAGATTTTACAGCAACTAACTATAGGTAGCCCTCAATGTACAACCATCATAGAACCTGTACATACTGTACAGCAGGGGTCGGCAACCTTTTGGACCTCAGGGACCACCAAACTCATAATTTTAAATCCCACAGACCAGAGACCCTGGGAAAACCCCCCCAAAAGTCTACAGGAATATTCCCCACCCTGTTTTCCTACTGATCAATCATTCTTTAGTTGGGATCACAGGATACCGTCTCCAGCTCTGTTCTCGGGGGGTGGGGGGGGGGAGAGACTTGACTTCATGCAAGGAAAGCAGCAGAAGCAGCAGAAGTCTTTCTTTCTCCCCCTCAAACTTCACCCAAAATGAGTCTTTATGAGACTTGTCACGCTGGTGCAGCCTCTTGGAGCAGGATGCCTTGCAAGGTCCCAAAGACTCATTTCTGGCAGAGTTTGGGGGAGAGAAAGAAACTTTTGCTGCTTTCCTTGCGTGCAGCCAAAAGCAGAAGAAGAAAGAAGCAGCCCAGTGGCCAGGCAAGATGCATGGGGCGCGTGGGGCAAGTTCCTCCCTCCACCCTTCCCCCCTCTCCTCACTACCTTGTGTTGTTCACAATGCAAGCGACGTAAGCCTTGTGTTCCCGCAGGCCATGTGGGCCTTGTGTTCCCGTGCAGCCTGGATTAATTGCTTTGGGGGGACATTTCTCTGAGGACCACCAAAAAATTTTCATGGACCACCAGTGGTCCCCAGCCAACCGGTTGGCAACCACTGCTATACAGGTAGTCCCTGACTTACAACCATTCATTTCATGACCATTTGAAATTACGACAACAGTGAAAAAAGTGATTTATTATCATTTTTTTCACACTTAAAAACCATTGCGGAATCCCCAGGGTCATGTGATCAAAATTCAGATGCTTGGCAGCTGGTTCCTATTTACAACCGTTGCAGTGTCCTCGTGTTTATGTGGTCCACTTTTGCAACCTGTTTTGGACGGTTTTGCAGTGTCCCTGGGGTCATACGATCCCCTTGTGCAACATTGACAAACCAAATCAATGGGGAAGCCCTGATTCATTTAGCTACCAGGTTACTAACTTAACGACAGTGACTCACTTAACGGCCATGGCATGAAAGGTCATAAAGTGGAACAAAACTCAACAACTTTCTGTTAGCCATGGAAATTTTGGGCTCCATTGTGGTTGTGCATCAAGGACTACCTATACATCAAATGCAATATTTTGTTATTTGCATCGAGCGGGTCATATTCCAAGTTTGTTCTGACCTGGCTTGAAACACGACAAACCCTCTGTAGTTAAATAAATGTTCCCTTTACTAGCAGCGCCAGCAGCCCTGGCAAAAAGCCTCTCTCTCACAGCAGGGTAACCAGTCTGTCTAGCAGGGAGATGAATAGTTGTCTGCCACACCTATTCATCTCCGTCCCCTGCCTTTTATCCCCAGAGCTAGGATAGGGCTTTGCATGCAGCAATGGCCCAAGGATCAGCCCATAGATTTCCATTGCTCTCCTCTCCTTTGCCTTCACATCTGCGTGTCAGGCACTGGACCCAGCTGTTCCTCCTCTTCCTCATCAGCCACCTCCAGACCTGGGGGCTGTTGACTCTCCATCTAAGGACTGATGGATGGCCCAGGCTCCGCTTCTGTCTCGCTCGCTGACAGCTCCATTCCCTCTTCCCCCTCGGAGCTCTCAGGTTGCCTTGATGCTGGCCCAGACTCCCACACCTCCTCCTCCTCCTCTGATTCGGCTGCTGGAGGGGCTGGGCAGCCAACAGGCCACAACAAAGTCACTTCCCTTTGGATAAATGTAATCCTTGCTAAAGGCCCCTAAATTGCTGTTGAGCCTATTTGAAGGATGAATTAAAGTCCAATTCATGAAAACGTTTTACATCCAGTGTTTGTATGTATTTTTAATCTCTCTCTTTTTTCTTCCTTCCTTATGTGGCCCCTCTAGAGATTTCCATTGGCAGGTACCCGGTATAGCAAATGTGCTGTCATTGGCAACGGTGGTATCCTACAAGGTAGCAGGTGTGGACAAAAAATTGACCAGGCTGATTTTGTCATCAGGTATCTGTTTTTTTTATTTTTGGGGGGAGCTCAGGTTAAAGGATGGGATCATAAGGAACAATTTCCATCCTTGGATTATCGAAGTAACAATTTTCTCATTTCCCCATCTTTCTTCTCCTTTGTCTTCCTTTCCTCCTGCTTCCCCTTCTCTTTATCTCTTCTTTCTTCCATTTCCTCTTTTCTTCTTTCATTTTCTTTTACTTTTTCCCGTCTCTGTTTCCCTACCCCCTCTCCCTCCTCCTTCTTTTCCTTCCCCTTTCTCCTTCTCCTCCTTTTCTTCCTTCCCCTACACTTTTCTTCTTTCATTTTCTTTTTCTTCCTCCCCATCCCCTTTTACTTCCCCAACCCCTTTTCCTTCTCCCTTTTTCCTCTTTACCTTTCCTTTCACCTTCTCTTCCTTCTCCTTCTTCCCTCCCTTCCTCTTCTTCCTTCCCTTCCCTTTCTTCTTCTATTTGTCTTCCCCTCCCTCTTCCTCTCCTTTTTCCCCTCCCCTTCCCTTCCTCCTTCTCTTTTCCCTTCCCCTTCTTCCTATTTCTCTTCTCCCTATTCCTCCCCTCCCTCCTCTACTTTTCCCTTCCCCTTCTCCTTTTCCCCTCCCTATCCCCTTCCCTTCCTCCTCTTCCTCCTCCTCCCCTTTTCCCTTCCCCTTCTTTTCCCTTCCCTCTTTCTCCCCTCCCCTCCCTCTCCCCCCCTCCCTTTCCCTGTTGGACCCAGGAGCTTTAATTTCTAGTATTTTTGCAATTAAAACCATTGCTTATTTGGGAATCCTATGGACATAAAACTCCCCCTCAGTATGATAAAAAGTGGGAGACGCATTGGAAGAAAACAGCAAGGCAGAAGCCATTTCTTCGAGATGACAAGTGAAGTCTCCCACCACCTGGTTCTAGACTGAACATGTATGAAACAATATCAAGAATTAGTGCAAATAATTTTAGGCGTTGAGATTCTGGCAACAACATTCCCCATTTGAAGTTCTTACAAAAATACACCACCACCACCAGCCTGCATTAAGAAACCAAACCGAACCTACCCATTTCCCTTCTTTTGCAGTTTTAAATAACAGTACAGGTAGTCCTCAACTTATAACAGTTCATTTAGTGACCGAAGTTACAACAGCAGTGAAATAAGTTACTTATGACCATTTTTCACACGACTGTTGCAGCATCCCGGTGGTCACATGATTTACACTCGGATTCTTGACCACTGACTCCCATTTTTGACAGTCACAGTGTTCTGGGAGTCATATGATCCCCGTTTTGTGACCTTCTGACAAGCAAAGTCTATGGGGAAGCATAGTGATTGCATAGTGAAACACCTGCAGTGATTCGCTTGAAAAAATGTGGTAAGAAAAGTCATGAAATGGGGCAAAACTCACTTAACAAATGTCTCCCTCTTTAGCAACCTAAATTCTGGGCTCAATTGTGGTGGTAAGTCAAGGACTACCTGTAATGCATTCGTTTCAGTTTAATCTCTGTGTCTGTTTTCCGCTTGCTCCCCCACCCAGGTTTAATCTGCCTCCCTTAAATACAACTGAAGATGTGGGAACCAAGACACATTTAGTGACTATCAACCCCAGTATTTTTCATATTAGGTAAGGAAAATTATGTAAATACAAATATTAATCAACTACAGTCTGTGAACGAAGAAGGCGGCCACTCTAAACTTCTAAGAAACACGCAGACTATAGGTATTTTTTAAAAAAATACACGCTGATCTCTTTTGAAAGATGGCATTTTGCAAAAAAATCAAAATGGGCACCTAACAAAAGTTTCGTTCACATACTGTGGCTTGTCAAGTGTTGGAAGAAATATCCATTTGGTTCAGTTTCAAGCTGGGATGAAGCACAACCACCAAGCACATGTTTCTCTGGGGCAGCTGACCACATGGAGTTGAGAGTGAGGGGTTTTTATACCTTCTCTCGGGCTTTGCACTTGAGCTTCCTGTTCCTGTGCAAGAACATGTATTCTATTGGCTGTTGTCAGACTCCCATGGGGCTATGTAGGGGTCATAGCTGGCTCTGTAGCAGGGGTGGGCTACTATGGGTTTGCCCGGGTTCGAATATTATGGCTGGTTCAGAGAACCACCAAATCCCACACCTGGCTAGCCCTGCCCACCCCAGCCCATCCCTTTCACCCCGCCCCTCCCAGGAGTCTCCATGTGGCCCATTTTGGAATGCAAGGTAAGTGCAAGTCGCTCATGGAGGCTCAGGAGGGGAAAAAACAGGCCTCCCGGAGATTCCAGAAGTCCGGAAACTGGCCTCTTTCCAGTCTCCGGAGCCCAGAGGAGGCAGTTTTTGCCCTCCTAGAGGCTTGAGGAAAGCCTATGGAGCCTGGGGAAGGCGAAAACACCCCACCCCCTTGTGGTGCAGGAGGCTGACTAGGCCATTCCCATCATGGCCATGCCCACCCAGCAAACTGGGCAGAGAACTCGTTGCTGTAATTTTTGAAGCCCACCCGTGCTCTGTAGGCTGTCTGAGAAGTTTGGTTGAAGTTTCTGAGGGTGATACAATGTCCTTAGGGCTTAAGAGATTGTGCAATGTAGTGAGCTCTGTGTCTTAATGAGTTAATTCTATTATGTCCTTAGGGGGCATATCTTTAATCCCTTCACCGTGGAACTGACAGTCTTTTATAGATAGGCTGGCCCAATCTTTCTCGAGGGAGCTGGGGCTCGTGAGTTTCTGTCTCCCTTAAGGTTTTTTATTTCTCTTTTAGGGGAAATATTATATTCTGCCTTTTAAAAATATTCCTCAAAACATTTAATTCTTGTAGGAGGTGGGGGACTGGGTATAACTCTGTACATGAGGGTATGGTTTTCTTTTGGGATTTTCTCCTCTCCTTTTTTTTTTTTTTGAAGATTCCAAGACCTGAGGGATCCTCCAACGGCTTTTATAGAGGTTCTTCAGGCCTACCAAAATGCCCTTTTCCTCATTCCTGCATTATCCTTCAATTATCACCTTACAATTGCCTACCGTGCTGTAAACATCATGAAGGATTGTGGCCTGGCCCATAGGGCATTCTTCCTCCACCCATGCTACCTGGCTGCCCTCAATAAGTATTGGAAACTGAAAGGGATGAAAGAAACACGCCTGACCACTGGCTTTATGTTCACCAGTTTGGCTCTGGAGTTCTGTGACAACATCTCTCTCTACGGCTTCTGGCCCTTTCCATATGACCTGACTGGAAAACCACTCAATCATCACTACTATGACAACGTGTTGCCACATCCTTCCATTCATAACATGTCTGAAGAGTTCTCCCGTTATCTCAATATGTATGCCCAGGGTGTCTTGCGCATACAGCTTGGCAAATGCCAGTGAGTTTTGGGTAGGGAAGACAGTCCCTACCGAGGAATAAATCGGCCAAAGGAAAAACAGTTGGTTTGCGGTTCCCACTAAAGCAGGGGTGTCCAACCTTGGCAACTTTAAGACTTGTGGACTTCAACTCCCAGAATTCCTCAGCCAGCTTTGCTGGCTGAGGAATTCTGGGAGTTGAAGTCCACAAGTCTTAAAGTTGCCAAAGTTGGACACCCCTGCACTAAAGCATGAATGTGGCAACGTGGAATTTGTACCGGTGAGGAAAACAAGCTTTCCAAAAACAGGACATCCCACACATTCTCTTGTAGCGTAACATAACTCATTTGTATTCTTACTCATCTAATGGGCAGAAACAGCAGCCTTTCACACAACCTGGGACGAAATAAGGGAACATGCAATTGTTATGTTTGTAAAAAATAAAAAAGAAGCTGTTTCACACTAAGTAACTGGCCAAAGCGGAGTCTTTTTCAAAAGTTTTTAGTTAGGAAACCAAAAAGGTTTATGGAGGAAATGTCAGTTATGGAAATGTGGGTGGTTGATTTGTCACAAGCTGATAATTTGTTGGAATATCCTTGAGTCCTCAACATGGCTGCCCTTGAAGAGTATCCGGAAGCGCCAACTGGTCCAAAAGGCAGCAGCCTATGCAGTTCTGTGAATGATTTGCAGATGAGATGAGATAGGAAGGGAAGGGGAGAGGAGAAGAGATAAAGAAAAGAGAAGGGAAGAGAAGTGTTCTGATCCAAACCCTTTTCCAATAAAACAAATACGAACCAAAGGGAACAGAAACCTTTTAATGATTCTTATGAATCCCCGGTTAAAAGGCTACTGCAAACTAATTAAGTTTGATAAGCACGAGCCTCGCCAAAACTACGAGGCTGCCAAGAATAACAGATAAGGTTACCTAGAAATATTTTACAACGCAAGAGTCTTCAAATACCAACTAAGATACTGCAATGTCCATGAGGCTCAAGTTTCAAAACGTCTTTGCTTCCTGCAAAGAATGTCCGATTCACAGCTGGCTTTTATCTTCTTGAAAGAAGGGCCATTGCAGCCTTACTCCCCAGTCTCCCATTCTGCTGCTGCTGCTCTTTCCTGCGAGCAGCCCTGCACACACGCGCACTTTGGCACAGGCTCCTCGGGAACCTCATCACTGCTGCTATTACAGCAACTTCTGCTAATTATAAAAATACTTTTCTGGAAATTTCCCATCCTGCTTCATTGCCAGCCCCCACAATCTCTGAAAGCAGCAGTCCACTCCCTAAAGGTCCTGGCCCCTCATCTGAGTCCTCGCTCTCCTCAGCTGTCTGCACCTGCTGCTGGCTAACCACAACAGGAAGGGAAGGAGGAAGAGAACTTTTGTCGCTTTTTTCTGTTTTCTGTGAAAATAGTGGCACACATTAAAAAATGATATTCTGATGCCTGTTGTCAAAAGAAGCTACATCCATCCATCCATCTATTTAAAGCTATATATGAATATATATATATGAAAATATATATATATATATATATATATATATATATATATATATATATATATATA